CTGCGTGGTGCTGAGCTGCTGGCTGGGGTTAAACCACAACACCCACCCTCAGGGAAAATGGCACAATGAAGAGGCCAGGGCACAGCAAAACCACCGAGCCTCCTCCGTCATGGGAGCAGGCCTTGCCTTGCTCTGTGTCCAATGGCTTTCAAGAAGATATTTGGGTGTGGAGATACATGCCCCAGCCCACTCAGGAAGAACATGGTTGTTCTGGGAATAGTCCAAGGTGACCACATGCTGTGCTGGAAATTGAGGAGGCAGAGAGCCAACATTACCAATGCAGTTGTCGTTCTGCACCTCGTACCCAGGGGGGCAGATACAGCGGAAGGAGCCCTCCAGGTTCTGGCAGGCGCCCGGGGAGCAGGTCCCAGGCAGGCTCACACACTCGTTGATGTCTGCAGAGGAGGGGAAATAGCCAGTGATAGTGTCTGTGCTCAGCTCGGAGGACTTGGGTGCAGGGTACCTTGCTGTACCCAGGCCCTACCTGCAGCTGCACCCTGCTTTGCCCAAAAGATGCAAGGAAAGCAGATAAGACATTTTCCAGGATGCTCTACCTTGTGTACCCTGGGAACATGGACTCAGCCCTGCAGGACCTGGTGCTGCAGGAGGCAGAGTGTTGGACACAAGCAACCAGAGTACAATATGCCTGTTTGCCCCCACAGCCCCTGCCTGCAGGATAGTGCCCAAGGCATCCCTGGTACATCTCTGCATGCTTTAGGGGCATGGGCAGGACATTTCTCCTCACTGCCTGCAGGTCTCAGGACATGGAAAGGGACTGGCTTGACTGTTCCCTGCATTGCTGGAAGGGAGATGTAGGCATAGTGGGGCCCAGTCCAGCTCTCCATGGGCAGTCAAATGAGCAGGCTTTGGCTCCAGAGGACTTGGGGGCCTTGTGAGCAGTTCTGGAGAGTCCACCGCTCAGTTGCCTCTGATGGGACCAGCCTGGGGACCGCATCTCGTAGCACTGCACAGTGCCAGCCACGCCAACATACAGCTCAACCCATTGAGAAGGGCCAGCCCACTGTCCGGACACTCACCTACACAGTTCTTCCCATCAGGGGTCCGGTCATACCCCTCTTGGCACAGGCACTGGAAGGAACCGATGCTGTTGATGCACTGGCCGTTTCGACACACCTGCCCCACCAGGGATGAACACTCATCAATGTCTGTGGGAGGGAAATGATAAGCACAACGGGAAGAGATATGCACAGCATGTGAGTGTCAGTGTGCCACCTTAACCAGCCCTACACCTCTGACACATACAATTACCCCTGCAGGGGTGACCACATTGCCAGGTGACGCCCAGAGCTGACCCCCTGTATGCCAGTGTGTGACACCCCATGCCCCACAGCCATTTCCACGTTGACCCCAGTCAGCTATCCATGTGGTCAGGTGTGCTGGTTTTGACTGGAATAGCGTTATTTTTTTTCCTAGTAGCTAGTATGGGGCTATGTTTTGGATTTGTGCTGAAAACACTGTTGATAATACAGGGATGTTTTAGTTACTGCTGAGCAGTGCTTACACAGAGTCAAGGCCTTTTCTGCTCCTCACCCCACCCCACCCCACCAGTGAGCAGGCTGGAGGTGCACAAGGAGTTGGGAGGGGACACAGCCGGGACAGCTGACCCCAACTGACCAAAGGGATATTCCACACCTTACGACGTCATGCTCAGCATATAAAGCTGGGGGGAGAAGAAGGAAAGGGGGAACGTTCAGAGTGATGGCATTTTGTCTTCTCAAGTAACCGTTATGTGTGATGGAGCCCTGCTTTCCTGGAGATGGCTGAACACCTGCCTGCTGATGGGAAGCAGTGAATGAATTCCTTGTTTTGCTTTGCTTGCGTGCATGGCTTTTGCTTTACCTATCAAACTGTCTTTACCTCAACCCACAAGTTTTCTCACTTTTACCCTTCCAATTCTCTCCTCCATCCCACTGGGGGGGAGTGGGCGAGCAGCTGTGTGGGGCTTAGTTGCTGGCTGGGGTTAAACCATGACATCAGGACTTCATGCAACTCACCCATGCAGTCATTATTGTGTGTTAGCTCAAAGCCAGGGAAGCAGAGGCAATTGTAGGAGCCAACTGTGTTCTTGCAGGTCCCATTTCCACAGGGCTGTCGGTCACACTCATCAATATCTGCAGAGAGAAGGTCACAGCTGATTCAGGGGCTGAGCGAGCTGAGAACCACCCTCTTAGGTGTGCAGACAAGGTCCAGGCAGCTGCACAATGCCCCTGTGACTTGCAGGGACAGCCTGGGATCAAGAGGACCCTTGGCTGTCCTTGGCACAACCCAGCATGTGCTGGAGGGAGCTCACATCCATGCTGATATCCGATTCACACGGCAGGGCTGTGGCAGTCACACTGACCCATGCACATGGTCTGCTCCCCCGTGGCCTTGAAGCCGTTGTGGCAGATGCAGACGTAGCTGCCTTCGGTGTCAACACAGTCCCCGTGGCTGCAGACATTGGGGATCTCCTGGCATTCGTTGCGACCTAAAACAAAGCAGAGTGGGAACTAGTGAGCAGAAGGGATGACCAAATAGGAGAAGCCAAGACACTGGCCTTCTGCAGACTCCTGCCTGCTGGTGGGAAGCTGTGTCTGTGAGCAGCAGCACAGCAGAACGGGGTCTTGGTTTTCTGAGAGGTGGCTTCACAGAGAACAAGATTTATGCACTGCCATCTCTAAAAAAAATAAATTTAATTGGAGAAAATGGCCTGAGCTGCCAGACTAAAGCTGCACTTCACAGTGACCTTTTCTCATCCCTCAGGAGCCCACAGTCCCTGGGAACTGTTCCAAAAGTACAAGTATGCCATAATCACAGAACAGCCGGGTCATAGTCCCCAGGCTTGACAAAAGATCAGGAACCCATGCATGGGACTGCCATGTCCTTCATCCTGTCCTTCCTTGGGTCCACACACGGTGGTCTGCAAAACTTTCTGAAGAGCCTAGGCAGGGGTGTCAGCGCCTCGCACACGTGTCTCTGGAATAGGTAGCAAAGAGCTCCCATCTTACCCACGCAGGCTCCGCTAGGCGACAGCTTGTATCCAGTTGAGCATTCGCACCTGTAACTGCCCGGGATGTTGATGCAGTCGGCATTGCGCTGGCAGAGGTTCTCCCCACTGCTGCATTCATCAATGTCTGTTGGAGGAGAGCAATGCAAACTTTGACTGTGCAGAGTGCCAAGTGCTCACCAGGCACCATCATCCTGGTAGGGCTGGAATGGCTCAGTGGACTCAACGGAATTTTAATGCTTGGTTTGCTCCAACCAAGGTCAATTTTCAACCTTTTCCTATTGCTTTGCAATAAAAAAAAAAGAATTTTAGTTACAACTCAAAACTTTGAAACACTCACATTTGCAAACTTTTTGTAAAAAAAAAACCCAAAAACAGAGGAGGGGAAAATCAGACAGGAACATAAATGAAAATCAGCAATTTTTGTCCCACCGTTGTTGCAGAAAATGAAGAAGTTCAAGAAGGCTGAGAACATGTAGACTCTGTTCATGTCTGCTGACAGCCCTCACCCTGGTGCCCCATGAGGTGGGGAGACGCTAGTGCCACGCTGAGAACCCCCACCCTCCTGGGTGCCCTTGGCAGTGTTGCCCTGGATGACCCATTACCTTCGCAGATGAGCAGGATGTTGTTGTAGCTGAATCCAATGGGACACTCACACCTGAAGCTGCCAATTTGGTTGATGCAGACACCGTTCGTGCAGATAGCTGGGATCTCACTGCACTCATCAATATCTGCACACAGACAATATCTCTCAGCATCCCAGGAAGGCAGCAGGGAGGAAAACATCCCCCATAGCTGGGAGACTGCTTCTCTTGTTCGTTCTAAAATGACGACTAGCAGGAAAAGGCCACTAGACAAACAGTGGAGCAACTCTTGGAGGATTGGTACTGGATCCTGCAGATCATGCCAGGCTAGGGCTGCGCTGCAGAGATCTGGATACACAACAGAGCCACACAAGACTCCAAGTCATAGGAACCACAGGATTGCTGGCAGAGCCTGCACAGCACATGTTGGGAAGGATCCTACCCAGGACATCCACCTTTTTTTCCCTGAGTGTGTCTCTGCAGTAACATGGACACTTGCTCAGGCTCTGGGACCAGGCTGCAAATGGGAAGTCCAGGGGGTCACTGAAATACTGAGATGGCTCCAGGGTCCTTGACTCTGTCGCTTGCCCAGCACAATCCACCACCAGCCCTGCCAGCCCTGCACTGATACCCTCTGTTGCACTTTCTTCCTGGGAGCAGAAGATGAACTCGACTCCCTCCTCTTCAGTTCCCTGGCTGGCACTGCCAAAGCCAGGTGAAGCAACGATTAACTAATGTGTTTGTCTCAGACTACCAGCAAGTCCACCTTTCAAGACTGCAAAACATCTGTAGACAGCCCACAAATCTTTCAACAGCTCCTCTGGCTTTCCATCCAGCAAAACACAAACCTGAGACCTTGGCTCTCAGCGGTGCCCTGCTGCCGTAGGGCCAGTGCTGCTGGCAGTGTGAGCACCAGGGCTATCACAGGTCTGGATCTACCTGGTCACTGGCCACTCTCTATGGTCACTAGCCACCTGTCTCTCCAGGTGGGACAGAAACCAAGGCACAATTGCAAATGTGCAGAGGTCTGAGCAGCCCAGCCCCGCAGGACATAGGCTTGAAAGCTTGGCCAGCTGCTTGCAGCCACCTCTTGTCTCTCCTCTGCTCAGGGCTTAATTTGCTAAGTGAGGGGAAGGGAACAAGCTCATAAGTACTGTGGGAAGAAAGCAGAGGGGCAGAGAGCAGACCTGGCTCCACAGGGCACGGGGGCTCTACTCACCAATCGGCTTTCCTGTGTGGATGTCGATGATAAAGCCAGGGGCCTGATTCCCACACAGGATCTGGTACTCAGCTGGAAGGGGAACACCAAGGTCATGGCCATGCCTGGCAGGCAGAGTGGGAGGCAGCGAGGGGCAACAGGGACATGGGCCAACTATGGCTGCAGTGAGTGGAGAGGGGGTCTGACAGGCAGGAGGGGATCTGCACGGTGCTTGGCCAGGAGTCGCAGGGGCTGGCACATGGGCAACCCCAAGAGCATGTATGGCACCAGGCAAAGGGCTTATACATACATGCACTGCAGGGCACATACACACTCAATAAAAGGCATGCACGCACATGGCATCTGTGTGCCTCGCATGCAGGTAGAGTCACTCCTCCACACAGTGCCCGGCCAGCAACGCTACACCCATGCCCAGCCTGCCCACGCAGCCCAGACCCACTGCCTGCGCATGCAGCCCACACATCTCCTCTCTGCAGATACTGTCCCAGTCCCCTGAATCCTTCTAGTGCAATGCACGTCCCCACAACGCTTACCCACAGGCGCTGCCTGCCAGACATGATGCTCTCCCTTCTCCCCCTCTGTTTTGTTAGTGCCTGTGGCTCAAAGTGCACAGGATTGCTGGAAAAGCAAGGGGGCAGCCACAGTATCAAGATGCCCTTCAGGAAGGTTGACTTACGGCTGGCTGGTGTGGGGCAGGGCTCGCATGGCTTGTTCCAGGCCTTGCCAATGTTGTAGGAGCAGCAGCACATCTTCTTGGTCATGTTGAAGGAGAGCTCGTTCTCACACGTGTCATTGTAGTTGCGATAGCACACGCTCTTC